TGTCTATGGGAACAATTTTTGCGAATATTTTCCCCCCCCTAGTTAAGCCATAAACCTAGATGTAATAAGTACATTTTTGCTCCAAAGAATAGGTACACAAGTTCGAATATGCATTTTTCCCCCCAATTTGTTTTTATATCTTATGAAATATTCCTTTATTCCTATTTATAAAACATAGAGAAAATATTTTTTTTGTTCTATTTATAAATTATTTCATTAAATTTTTAGTATGAATATACTATTTTATCTTTTATTTATTATAGTATAGAGATAAAATTGAAAATTTATTATCTAAGTTACCATATTTTAAGATTTTTTTAGTATAGGTAAATATATTTAAAATGTTCAATAAATAGGTGGGGCCGACATATGATCCTCCGGAAATCAACTGTCGGCAGTTTTGACCGGCGGTTCTTAACTTTGCTAATGGAATGGTTCCCTACGAAGCTTCGTGGATGTTTCTCGTCTCTTCGCGTCTCTCGAGTCACCAACTTCAATGCCCAAAATTATAAGGGAAAAAGACAAAAAAATGCACCTCCAACTCCAAAAGCCCAGAAACGTCCGCCCAATTCCACAAATCCCATTTTGGTACCATGAGACCAAATTGGGATTATTATGTGAAAGGAAAAGACCACATTGCCCTTCATTTTAAATATTATTTTTAAAATATCACAGCCCCTACTAGCCGGCCGGTCACCGGACCTCCGGCAGCGGCGGTCACCGGAGCTCCGGTGACCAGCCGACAATTGGTCACCGGAGCTCCGGCAGTCGGAATTTTTTTTTTTGAAAATTTTTACAACTTCAATATAACGGTTAACAACTTTTGTGATGCTATTCACAACTTCAGTATAGCAATTAACAACAGCTTTTTTGGGAAATTCAACAAACTCCGGCGACCGGAAACAATTATTTTGAAAATTTTTACAACTCCAATATAACCGTTAACAACTTTTGTAATGCCATTCACAACTTCAATATAGCAATTAACAACAGCTTTTCTGGGAAATTCAACAAACTTCGGCGACCAGAAACAATTTTTTTGAAAATTTTTACAACTTCAATATAACCGTTAACAACTTTTGTAACCCTATTAACAACTTCAGTATAGCGGTTAATAACTTCAGTATAGCGGTTGAAAAAACCTGTTGTTAACCGTTATACTGAAGTTGTTAATAGGGTTACAAAAGTTGTTAACCGCTATACTGAAGTTGTAAAAATTTTCAAAAAAATTGTTTCCGGTCGCCGGAGTTTGTTGAATTTCTCAGAAAAGCTGTTGTTAATTGTTATATTGAAGTTGTGAATGGCATTACAAAAGTTGTTAACGGTTATATTGGAGTTGTAAAAATTTTCAACTTCAGTATAACGTTCACAATTACGTTTTTTTGAAAAATTTTACAACTCCAATATAACGGTTAACAACTTTGATATAGCAGTTAACAACAAGTTTTTAAATTCAAAAAGTGACATTTTTATAACTTCAGTAATGCCTTTAACAAACTCAAAAACCTGTTGTTAACCGCTATACTGAAGTTGTTAATAGGGTTACAAAAGTTGTTAACCGCTATACTGAAGTTGTAAAAATTTTCAAAAAAATTGTTTCCAGTTGCCAGAGTTTGTTGAATTTCCCAGAAAAGCTGTTGTTAATTGCTATATTGAAGTTGTGAATGACATTACAAAAGTTGTTAACGGTTATATTGGAGTTGTAAAAATTTTCAACTTCAGTATAACGTTCACAATTACGTTTTTTTGAAAATTTTTACAACTCTAATATAACGGTTAACAACTTTGATATAACAGTTAACAACAAGTTTTTAAATTCAAAAAGTGACATTTTTATAACTTCAGTAATGCCTTTAACAAACTCAAAAACCTGTTGTTAACCGCTATACTGAAGTTGTTAATAGAGTTACAAAAGTTGTTAACCACTATATTGAAGTTGTAAAAATTTTCAAAAAAATTGTTTTCGGTCGCTTGAGTTTGTTGTTGTTAACCGCTATAATGAAGTTGTTAATAGGATTACAAAAGTTGTTAACCGCTATACTGAAGTTATAAAAATTTTCAAAAAAATTATTTCCGGTCGCCGGAGTTTGTTGAATTTCCCAAAAAAGCTGTTATTAATTGCTATATTGAAGTTGTGAATGGCATTACAAAAGTTGTTAACGGTTATATTGAAGTTGTAAAAATTTTCAAAATAATTGTTTCCGGTCGCCGGAGTTTGTTGAATTTTCCAGAAAAGCTGTTGTTAATTGTTATACTGAAGTTGTGAATAACATTACAAAAGTTGTTAACCGTTATATTGAAATTGTAAAAATTTTCAAAAAAAAAAATTCCGACCGCCGGAGCTCCGGTGACCAATTGTCGACTGGTCACCGGAGCTCCGGTGACCGCCGCTGCCGGAGGTCCGGTGACCGGCCGGCCAGTAAGGGCTGTGATATTTTAAAAATAATATTTAAAATGAAGGGCAATGTGGTCTTTTCCTTTCACATAATAATCCCAATTTGGTCTCTTGGTACCAAAATGGGATTTGTGGAATTGGGCGGACGTTTCTGGGCTTTTGGAGTTGGATGTGCATTTTTCTGTCTTTTTCCCAAATTATAATTCAGTTTGAAAATTTTTTAAGTAAATTACTTATATTTTTATTTTAAAATTTTATTTATTAAAATTTTATTTAAAACGTTTTTTTTTGAATTTTTCCAACATTATATATAGTTGTATTTTTAAACCTAAGACAAATCTAATCTAAAATAACAATTAATGACATATTTTTTCCTAAAAAACTTGTAGTAATAGTTAAAAATTTTGTATAGTTTTAAAATATACAAATTTTATTTTAAAATTGTAATTTTTTGTTCTAGTGATATGGACTTAAAATGAAAAAAAATTATTTTTTAGAAGATTAAACTTATAAAATGTAACCATTTAAAATTGTATTTTTTTAAACTTTAAAATATATATAATTTTATTTTTTTAAAATTTAAGGACCGATACTTCAAATGGTTAAAATTTTAAGAACTTAGTTGCATTGAATAAAAATTCAGGAACTACATTTTAACTGAGTGTATAATTACTCGAAATTTAAGGCTTAAGTTTTAATTGAGTCAAAATTATATTAATCAAATTAAAAATTAATTTTTGCTCAATTTTTATATTTCTATTCAAGTTATTGATTGATGGTCATAAAATTATTAATATCATCAATTATAAAATACTACCTTCGATCCTTAATGTAAGAGCTAGTTGACTAATTTGAGTAGATTAAGAAAATTACTTAAATTAGTTATTTATCATAAATAGATATTGTCTTTCCTAAAATATCCTTACTAGTTAAATATATTAGTTAGAACTATTATTATTATAAGAACTACCTTAAAAAAATAGATAAATATGAGAAGTAAAGCGGATTGAGATCTTATATTTAGACTAAAATAAAAATCAAATGAGCTTTTATATTATCTTTGATCCTTAATATAAGAGTTAGTTGACTAATTTAAGTAGGTTAAGAAAATTATTTAAGTTAGTTATTTATAATAAATAAGTATTATCTTTCCTAAAATATCTTTTCTAATTATATGTATTAGGTAGAGCTAATATGTGATAAAATCTTTAATATATGTAATTGTTATAAGGATTATCTTGAAAAAATAGATAAATATAAGAAATAAAATAAATTCAGATATTATATGTATGATTAAATTGAAAGTTAAACTAACTTTTATACTAATTAATTCTAGGAGGCAGTATATACAAAATGCATCGGATGTGAATTTTATCTTTACGTTTTGTGGTTCAGCTTCAGATATTTTATGCCATTGTGTCGGATGCTGCTGGCAACGCGGCGATTTGACCAAAATTTTTAAATTTAAGAGTTTATTCGTTTTTCTAAAAGGATACGTGAAAACTTTTTAAAGTTTTAATCCACAAAGTCAAGTTCCCAGAGAAAAAATTTATCATATCCTGTTTTGTTAACATTTTAGGCGGCCCAAAAAAAGAGAGGACATTTTAGGCGTAGTATAGGTGAAAACTTACTGATGATAAATATTTTTTTTATGTTATAATATAACTATTATCATGAATAACTGAATCTTCTAATTTTCATATATTATAAAAATTGTGAAAAGTAATTGTTTATTACTCCTCCGGTTCTAAATATAAGACTCTTATATTAGTGTGTATAAGGGTCTTATATTTAGAATCGGAGGAATATTAATAAACAGTACTACCTAAGGTCCTATTTATAAGATCAGATCTTGTTTGTATATTACAAATGGGATCTTATAATTAAAAACAGAGGTGGTAGTTTATTACAAATTTTAATTTACATAAAAACATATCCGTCACAAGCACGGGTACATGATATTAGCTCGTTACTTGGTGAAAAATAAAGATGTCATCTCATCTATATCACATAATATAAAAATTTCTTCCTGGTTTAGATATTGATGGTACATATTTGGCAAAAAAAAAAAAAAATGTGTGTGGGAAACTTTTACTTGAATAACAAAACATAGCTAAGGCTTACATGCACAGACACATATGCATATGCACTCATCACAAATTATTAATTTATTTATAATAAATTCTAAATAAAAAAGATTTATATCAGAATTTTATTTATCTATTGTGCTGTGCCTCCACATTTAAATATAAAATATAATAAATATATACTTAAATTATATAACTAAGCATTCCTCATATTGTAATGGAGTGATGATGATTTGCAGCAGATGCGATGGAGGAACGCCACGAATAACTTGAGTCTTTATTTTGGCCATGTAAACATGGAGCAATAAAGAAGCGCCACGTGTAGAGCTTACGCACCATCTTACCTCAGCGCGTGTCCAAATATTTTTCAAAGAATAAATAAATGGTCTGAGTCGTCCAAAGCGACCATTTCTTTTGCCGAGTTTATGGCATCTCTTTCTGTCTCTGACTTCAAACTATCACACACTTCTTCACTCCCCCCCCCCCCCCAAAACAACCTCCTCCTGAAACGTGTGGGCACAACCACAAGCACCCCTCCATGACTCTTATTTGATCCCCATACTCATTCAACACACTCTCTCTCTATTCCTTTGCTTCTCTCTCTCTCTTCTTGTTTCTGTTAGAACTTGTGGGCACAACACAACACACCCTTCCATGACTCTCTTTTGATGCTCTTTCAACCACTTTCTTCCTCCTTTTACCCGCATCAGGTACTTCTTCTTCTTCTTATTCTTCCACGTTCACCATGGAAGCCCATTCTTCTCCCTCAACGACGTCGTTTTATCACCAGAAACGTTTCCTGCAGGAGATGGATTTCTTCTCTGACAAAAAAATCAAGACTGATGATTATCAACATGATCATGATGATGATCTGATGATGCTAAACGGGCCCACAGAGCTTCACGCTGATGTAAGTAATTAATAATAAATCATTAATCCTTCAATTCTCTCTGTTGTGCACTGAGATCGATCTTCATGATATATTACATTGGTATGAATGGCTGTTTCATCATCCTTTATTTGAAACCTATACTTTTTTATTTGTTAACTTTTTTAATACGCAGGAAATTCATTAGAAGCCACAATTATGTAGATGGACGTGTGCTTAGACAGTTTGAATTTAATCTTGATGAAGACTTATGATGCAGGCGAGTTTAGATCTTGTGACTGTGACGAGCAGTAGCAACAGATCGATGGTGGATGATGGGGCATCATACGCCATGGAAGAGAACAAGAAAAAAGAGGCACGTAATCTCTTTGTTGATGTGTGTGTTGTATATATAGTACTGTTTCCGCTCCTTAACATAAGAGCTTGATAAATGATTTATGACTATTAAATAAATTAATTAAGTTAGCTATTTACAACAAATATGTCTTGATTTTCCTAAACTACACTCTTTATAACTGTTTAATTATGTGTATAGGAGCTACCTTTTGATCTGTAGCCCTCTTAACATGTGTAATCAATAAGAGTATTTTGATAAAAAAAAATTATAAATTTAAAAAGTAAAGTGAGTTGAGGTCTTAAATTTAGAGTCAAAATGAATCCTCTGCCTACCTCTAATATTTAGGAATGGAGGTAGTAGCTATTTTCATCATGTTGAAGGATATAAATGGCTGAAATTTATTTAACCTTCTGGGTTCAGTATGTAGCTTTGTTAGCTGAATTGCAGCAGATAAAAGCTGAAAATCAACGTCTGAGAGATTTGCTTGATCAAGTGAACCTAAACTACAATGCCCTGAAATTGAAACTTACCAAGCTCAAGCGGACGCAAAGTAATAATGAGGTATGTGTAATATATCTATATCTATATCTATATATATATGTAGAGAGAGAGAGATAGCCTCTCATCAAATATATACAACATAAAGCAAAATTATCGAGAGAAAGAGGGTTGCAGCACTCTGGTTTAATCTAATTATTATTCCAAATTAATGGATTTTTCTTCGCTTCTGGGCTCCAGATTCATGGGGTTCTAACTTCATCATGACTCTGGCTTTCATTCTCTTGTATTCTTTGTCCAACCATCAACATGTGATTAAGCCGTTGTCAGATGAAAATTAAGCTAAAACTCTCATCTGCAATTTTTGTTTGAGAGATATATAATATATATGCATACACATTTTTGACTAAACCATCCTCAATATATATATATATATATATATATATATATAGACTCAATCCTTTCTACTCTGTATTTACTGAACAATGTTAGTGTAATGTGTTTTTTTCTCACCATTGTGTTGAATCAATGCATTCTTGAACGTGGCAAAGTGTTTTTACAGATTAGATAGTTCTTTTAATTTTTCTTTCTTTTTCTTTCCTCTTAGAATTTCATGTATACATATTCTTGCATATGGGCTAATTAGTAGCCTCTAATACATATTATCACTATAATATTTAGCGTGACATTAGCATTCATTATAATTTCCCTATTTTCAATATTTTGCATGCTTTGGAGATTCTTGAACAGACCAATTAAGTAGCAGTACATGCATATGAAATTTGTTGTCTTGTGTTTGGGTTTGTGTAGGTAGAAGAAGGCAGTGGAGATCAGATTGAGAGGAAAAGAGGAATGAATATGACAGGGCTATTAGTTGAAGATAGTAATAAAAGTGAAGGCAAATTGAGAGAAAGCAAAAGCAATAATAATATGCTTGATTTGATGGAATGCAAGATTGAGAAGAGCACAAATAATAATGATCATCAGCCACTTAACAAAGGTTATGGGAACGATCATCATAATAGTGATCATACAAAAAGCATTTCATCAGAAACCATATCACTCGTCAGGAAAGCTCGTGTTTCTGTTCGAGCTCGATCTGAGACTCCAATGGTTAGTATTTGATTTCATTCATTAATTTTGCAAATTATATTCTACTTTTTTTGGCTTCATAATATCCGCCTAGCAAGCCCATATCGATCAGCCATACTTTTCTCCAAACTTTTAGCGAAAGAAGAAAAATACAAGACAAAAGGCACAACGGTAACAAAGAGACTGAGAAACATAATTCTAAAATGACTTTATATCATTTTCCATATCATGAACAGTGCCACTATAAGTGTATATGTACAGAAAACCATTCTAGAATATTCCTAGAGCCAGCTGTACACATATGTATTGAGAGATACAATTTCAAGTTTCACAAGTGTGGTGCTGTGTTTGGGCTTTAGGTATGTATGTCTTGGGCCTCTATTTAGTGATAGATGTAATTGGGCTTGTTAGTGTTCTAACATCCCCCCGGGAGTCTTATGGCACTAGTGTGACATTAAGACTCGTCCTTAGCTGTAGAAATCTATTTGTGACGAGAGGCTTGGTTAGAATGTTAGCAATTTGATCTTTGGAGGAGACAATGGCAATATGAACTTGTCTGGCTACCACTCTTTCTTGAACAAAATGGTAGTCCAGTGCTGTGTTTAGCATGAGAACGGAAGACAGGATTAGCAACAAGATAGGTTGCTCCTAAATTATCACAATACAGTATTGGAGCTTGAGTGAGAGAAATGTTTAACTTGCCAAGTAGATTTTGAATCCATATGAGTTCACTGCTCGTATTAGAAAGGGAACAGTACTTTGCCTCGGTGCTGGATCTGGAAACTGTTGGTTGTTTCTTGGAACTCCAAGATATAATATTAGGACCAAAATAGATGACAAAACCAGCAGTGGATCATGAATCTACAAGGCAACCACCCTAATTTGCATCAGAGTAAGCTTCAAGAGGTGGAGTTTCATAAACAGCAGCAGAGAACGAGGAGAGATTGAGGGAACATTTGAAATGCAATCCATAATAAGCAGTAGCACACAAGTAGCAATTTACAGCAGTCCAGTGTGGTTCAATGGGCTCGTGTGTAAGTTGACACATAGGATTGACAACATGGGAGATATTTGGACAAGTGAAAGATGAATATTGGAGACTACCTACTATGCTATGATAAAGAGTAGGGTCAGAAAAGCAAGGATGAGTAGAATAAAGTTTGGTGTTTATAGCCTGGAGATGCCATAGAGTGAGCTTTAATCATGTTAGCACGTTTTAACAAATCAACAATGTATTTATGCTAAGACATAATAAGACCAGTAGACACTCTATAAGCTTCTACTCCAAGAAAATAATGTAAAGGCCCCAAATCTTTAATAAGAAAGGTAGAGCTGACAATTATAATCAGAGTAGTAAGAGCATCATTAGAAGAGCCAGTTAAGATAATATCATCCACATAGATGAGTACATACAACTGACAAGAAGGAGAGTTGAAAATAAATAACGAAGGATTAGATTTAGAACCTGAGAACTCAAGTTGAGTGAGGCATGTGCTGAGACAAGAGAACCAGGCTTGAGGAGCCTGTTGTAAGCTATAAAGAGAATGGTGAAGTTTGCAGATAAAGTGAGGATAGTTAGGATGGATAAAACCTAGAGGTTGAGACATGTAGATGTTTTCAGTGAGGGAACCATGAAGAAAAGTGTTCTGGACGTCAAGTTGCCAAAAGGACCACCCTTTTAAAGCAGCCAGGGAGATGATTAGGTGTATAGTGATAGGTTTATCTATAGGAGAGAAGGTTTCTAAATAATCAAGACTAGGTTGTTGGTAAAAGCCCTTAGCAATAAGTCGAGCTTTGAAGGGATCAATTGCACTGAATGGTGAGTATTTGATGTGAAAAATCAATTTACACCTGATGAGATTTTGAGGAGAATCAGGAGGGACCAAGTGCTAAGTTTTAGTGTCAAGGAGCGCCTGAAATTCTTCAGCCATAGCCTTGCGCCATAAAGCGTGTTTAAGGGCTTCAGTGATAGAGGAGGGTACAGAGTTGAGAGAGGTGATGGCAGAGAGAGCTCGACATAAGGGCCACGGTATAGTGCCATCTGAGAAAACTTTAGGTTTGGAGATGTGTGCATGGGATCTGGTGACCATTGGATGGAGAGGGGTTGTACCGATTTGAGTTGCAGAGGGCAGAGGTGAGGCAGAGCTGGAGGAAGAAGGTAACTCGTGAAAGGGAGAGGATGGTGATGTCGACAGTGTGATAGGGTTTGGATTGGTAGGGAAAGGAGATGAGTCACGTGAAGAGGGAGGGGAGTGGCAAGTGGATTTGGAGGATAAGTAGTTAGGCTTATGGAATGTGGGCCTAGAGAAACAAAAGGTAGAGTGGTATTTGATTGGGCTGAGTGGCAGTTTAAGTTAAGTGATGATATGGAAATTGGGTTTCATTAAAGAGGACATCACATGAGAGATAGATTCGGCCAGAGGGAGGGTGTAAACAAATGTAGCCCATGTGATTTGCATCGTAGCCTAGAAAGACACAAAGAGTGGATCTTGGCTCTAATTTGTTTTTAGTGTAGGAACGTAAGTTGGGCCAGCAAGCAGAGCTAAAAAACTTTGAGAAATTGGTAATTGGGCTTGTTGTGAAATAATTGTTGGAATTGACTTAGGTTGTTAAGTGTGAGAATGGGGAGTCTGTTAAGAAGATATGTGGCAGTGGAGAAGGCATAAGACCAGAATTTGTGTGGAAGTGTAGTGTAGGAGAGAAGGTAAAGACTTGTTTCAACAATTGTTTTGTGGCGTCTCTCAACAGTGTCGTTTTGTGTGCGAGTGTGAGGACAAGTTATGTAATGATGAATACCAAGATAAGAGAAAAGTTTCTTAAGAGGGCAAAATTCACCACCCCAATCAGATTGGAAACTCTTGATTTTTCTATTAACCAAGTTTTCTACAAGAGTTTTGAAAGACAAAAAGGTAGGAACAACTTCATCCTTAGTTCTAGTAGGGAAAAACCACATAAAATGAGAATGATTATCAATAAAATAGAGATAATAACAATAGCCATCTACAAACATAATAGGGGAGGGACCCCAAACATAAAAAAAAACAAGATCTAGTGAAGCAGATGAGTAGTATGGAGACAATGGTGAAGATAGACGATGACTCTTGGAGACTCTGCATGCTGAACACTGAGAGGGAACTGAAGTGGTTGAAACAAGTAAGGAGTTGGAAGAGATGATATGTTGAATTGTGCGAAAGGCAAGATGACCCAAACGATTATGCCATTGACTGAGAGAGGCACGGACACAAAGGCATGCAACAATAGATGAAGAAGGTTGCAATCCACGTAGAGGATAAAGATTGTTATGGTTGGGACCTTGAAGCAGTGTTTGGCGAGTCTTGGCATCCTTCACAATCAAACAATGAGCGTGAAATTCAAAGAAAACATTATTATCAACACAAAATTGATAGATTGATAAAAGATTTTGAGAGATATTAGGAACATGAAGAAGTTGGGTAAGAAGGTATTTGCCATTTTGTGCGGTGAGTTGTCCAGCACCAGTGTTGTGAATAGAGAGTAGAGCACCATTACCAACTTGCACAGGTTCATGACCTTAGTAAGGAATGGAGTGGATATTTAGCTTTGAAAGATCTGTAGTCATGTGATTAGTAGCTCCTGTATTAGGATACCAAAGTGTATCTTCCATAGCTGAAAGGAAGATAGAGTAATTTGCAGAATAAGAATTGGTGTGAGGAGGCCGAAAGTTATGATCATAGCGATGAGGGCAGGCAAACAGTGTGTGACCATGTTCATGGCACAGTTGACAGATATTAGTGGTGGTGGTAGGGAAGAGAGAGGGTGCTGTACGACCACCACACTGCCCATAAAAGTTTCTGCCACCTCTGTATCCATGACCTCTATTGTCGAAAAAAAATCATCCTCCACAACCTCTGAAAAAGCAGCCACGTCTACCTCATTGTGTAAGTGTAGGAAGGAGACCATCTAAGATTTTTGCAGTGTTGGCCATAATTTGAGTAACTTGAGTGCCTATGTTTTGGGTTTGTTTGGCTTTATAAGAAAGAAGATGACTAAGGATTTCCTCTGAGGAAAGGATTTCTCGCCTTATAGTAAGTGAGGTGACTATGGAATCATAGTCAGAGCCAAGTCCACCAAAGAGATAAATATTAAAATCAACACCAGAGACTGGGTTTCCTGTGGCTACCAAGGAATCAACAAGAAGAGTGGCACATTGATGATATTCAGAAATGGACTCACCGCCTTCCTTTAAATGATGAGTTGTTGGTGGAGTTGGAGGTATTTAGCTTGAGACTGTTGAGAGAACATAGTTTCTAGAGCCATCCACATAGCTCTGGATGTTTTGTGTCTCACGACTTGAGCAATAAGTTTTTCAGATAGAGATGAAATGAGGAGAGATATAGCACCAGCTGATCCTGCTTGAACCACTTGATATAGGCTGGATTAGGAGTGCCATCAAAGAGTTTGGTTGGAGGCTGAGGATTGGAACCATCAATGTAATAGAAGTAACATTGGCCATAAAGATATGGCAATATTTGTGCCTTCCATATAAGGTAGCTTTCATGGTTTAGCTTGACGATGATGAAGTATGAGACATTGGGAGGGTTAAAGAGAGTGGTTTAGGAAGTGATAGGGTTAGAGGTACTAGAGGAGTGGGAGATTGGGCTCTTTGAGGGATCTGCCATGGCGGTGACGCCTACAGCTCTGATACCATTTTAGCAAAAGAAGAAAAATAGTAGACAAAAGGCACAACAGTAACAAAGAGACTGAGAAACATAATTCTGAAATGACTTTGTATCATTTTCCATATTGTGAATAGTCTACAAGGGTATATATACAGAAAAATATTCTAGAATATTCTTAGAGCTAGCTGTGCACACATGTACTGAGAGATACAATTTCAATTTTCACGAGTGTCGTGCTGTGTTTAGGCTTTAGGTGTGTATGTCTTGGGCTACTGTTTAGTGATAGATGTAATTGGGCTTGTTGGTGTTCTAACACAAACTATTAAGAAGTGGAAGGGACTTGGGCACCTTAAATATCATGTTCTAGGTTCGATCCTTGGGGTGGTGTGTATGGAATAAACACTGTTGGGAGAAGTCCCTGCTGCGATGCCTGATAGTACCCCGAGAAATTAGTCTCTCACCATTCGAGTGGGAGGATACTCTGGGTAACCAAAAAAGAGTATATAGTTCTTGATTTTGAAATTTTGTCAATGAATCCCCCATGAATTGTTAACTTTTTGCGAATAAATAATCTCTAAGCACATGACCGTAAATGTAGAAAGGAGTAAATACTTTTCACCCAAAAAAAAAGAGAAAGGAGTAAATACTATTGTTAGTGGTCTTTATATTTGCTCTTCATAGTTTTATTTAGTCTAAGTTTAACAACTGGTTTTTTAACTTTTAACAAGTTTTGGTTTTATTCTCTATATTTAAACTCAAATCAACTGACTATAAGTACCAACACAAAGTATTTGAAATTACAGGAATTGAAACCAAAATTCAATTAAACTGTAAAGACCGGTAATAATATTAACTATGTAAAAAAAAAAGAAAAAAGAAAGGTTTGTGGGTTCCCACAGACGCTTTTTCTCTAAGATCACTGAAAGAAAATCTAGATTTTAAATTTTAGTAAATAATTATGCTATCAATTTGTTATTCCAAAATCCATCAATGATAATAGACCTTTTCAAATTTTAATTTGTGTGAATAATTCTTTTGACGTACGTGTCACATGCTTGTTAACAAAATAATAGATAACTTAATGATACAAGGGTACGGTCTCCATATATACGTGTATGATGATAGATTTCAAGGTGGTTTCACTACTATGAAATTGTAGAAGATAAATTAAATGAGATTAATTAGTTGAATAATTTAGCCATAGTTATATATGAAGCATTAATTTATTTTTCCCTCTTGTGTGATGAAATTTACATAATAAATTTCATTATGTTTTTGGCACTGACAGATAGCAGATGGATGCCAATGGAGAAAATATGGGCAAAAGATGGCAAAAGGAAACCCTTGTCCCCGAGCTTATTATCGTTGTTCCATGGGAACTGCTTGTCCTGTACGAAAACAAGTATGTAATCCTCTTCTCTCTTCATCAAAAAGTAGTTTTATTTGTCCTGAAATCGATTATCATAATTTTAACTAGTTTTTTTTATAGAAATGGAAATTAGTAATGGTGATTGGGTCAAATAAAAGGGAATCTGATTTCTTATGAGTATGATATCATATTCAAGCCTTATAAATTTTTAAAAAGCTAAGTCACATTAGGAGAAATATTCTCTAATTTAATCTGTAGCAAAGCTCTCAGTAATCTTTAATGTTGAATTGTTGTTACTATAAAATAACAACAATATCTTTAATTTGAAAGTTTGGCTGATCATCCTCATGTTCATTTAAAGAATAATTGATTGGTATATATGCACCAGAGATAACGGTTAAGATAAATCGAAAACTTGAATGCAACTTGGAGTATCGCTTTAATTTAAATGCCTTTGAACAGTATAAGAAGTGGCAGTTTTATTACAGAACATGAACATGACAAACCTTTAGCAATTCACGTTAAGTGTTCATATATAAATATATGCGAAAATAACAGATAAAGAAGGTGGAATATATGATATTCTAATTTGGGAAGTTAAGGAAATGTAATGACAGAAAGAAAAGTCCTTCCCAAATTGAAATTTTGAAATTTAGTGAAATAACAAAAATGCCCTTGGTCTTTTGTTTTTTGGTTTAAAAAAAGGGCTTAGCTCTCACCGGTGGCTGGCCATTGCTCGCAGGCACCAGTGTCGGCCATTGGTGTGGTGGTTGCAGGCATTTTTTTTTTCTTGTTCTAGCTTTTTTTTTGGCCATGTGAGAATATTGCATAAAAGTGGTAGGGGTGAGATTTGATCTTACTATCCCTTGGTCATTTGGGCCAACAAAAAAAAAAAACTATAGCCATTGGACCATCAAAGACTTTTTAATTTTATAATGCAAATAAAAATATAAGTTGACTCTTTTACTGTGACTCCAGTCCGTGACAACAATTTATTTGGGAATGATAAGTCTTAATTGAGAAATAACAAGTCTAAATTTGATATTAACACAACAACTTTTCCTGATACATAACAAGAAATAACACGTACATTAATTAAAAATAACAACAATTTATTCGAAAATGACATGTCTTTACTGAAAAATGACAAATCTAAACTTAACATTAATAATGTGTCTTTTCCTGATACATAACAAAAAATAGCATGTACATTAATTAAAAATGACAACAATTTATTTGGGAATCATGTCATTTTATTTGGGAATAACATGATTTCCAAATAAATTGTTGTCATTTTTAATTAGTGTACATGCTATTTCTTGTTATGTATCAGGAAAAAACACATGGTTAATCTCAAGTTTAGACTTGTCATTTTTCAATAAAGACATGTCATTTTCAAATAAATTATTATCATTTTTAATTAATGTACGTGTTATTTCTTATTATATATCGGGAAAAGATACATTATTAATTTCAAATTTAGATTTGTTATTTTTCAATAAAGACATATTTTCAAATAAATTATTGTCATTTTTAATTATGTACATGCTATTTCTTATTATGTATCAAGAAAAAACACATTATTAATCTTAAGTTTAGACTTGTCATTTTTCAATAAAGATATGTTGTTTTCAAATAAATTATTGTCATTTTTAATTAATATACATGTTATTTCTTGTTATGCATCAGGAAAAGTTGCTTTGTTAATATCAAATTTAGACTATTATTTCTCAATTAAGACTTGTCATCCTCAGATAAATTGTTGCTACGGGCTGGAGTCACAGTGAAAAAGTCAACTTATATTTTTGTTTGCATTATAAAATTAAAAAGTCTTTAATAGTCCAATGATTATTTGCCTTTTTGTTGGCCCAAATGACCAAAGGGTAGTGGGATCAAATCCCACCCCCACCACTTTCATACAATATTCTCACATGGCCAAAAAAAAAGCTATGACAAAAAAGAAATCATTGGCAACCACCACACTGGGGGCCAGCCACAAGTGAGGGTTGAGCGCTTTTTTTTTTAAAAAAAAAAATGACCAAGGACATTGTTGTCATTTTACTGAATTTCGAGATTTCAATTTGGGAAGAACTTCCCTCTCTGTCATTATATTTCCTTAGCTTCTCAAATTGGAATATCATATATTCCACCTCCTTTATTTGTTATTTTCCCTATATATACATTGTTGTCATTAGGTATCTCGAAGAGAAATGAATTTGTTTTTCTTCTATTCGTTTTTATGATGTCTATTATGATTGTTCCAAATGTAAGATTTAGAAAATTAATTTAGAGATTAAAAAAATTAGTTAAGTTATTTATTTGTAGAAAACATAATGTTGATTTTCATCAAGTACTCATTTTAATCATTTTTATTAGACACTACTCATTTGATGAAAAATCTTCTTATGTATACAACCAATAAGGAGAATTTAGAAAAAATTATAAATTAGGGAGACAAATTAACATATTGAGATATCATATTTATCATCAAAACAAACTCCTCTATTAGCTCTTATATTTATAATCGGAGATAGCATTGTAATTATATATCATTGTATAATTTATTTATTTTTTATGAATAAGACTGACGTTTTTCTTCACAGGTTCAGAGGTGTGCCGAAGATAGAAGCATTCTGATGACTACATACGAAGGACAACACAATCATCCACTTCCTCCAGCCGCAAAAGCTATGGCTTCCACAACATCTTCAGCTGTTTCAACCATTCTTTCAGGATCAATTCAAAGTTCAGATCATCCTCATCATCACAATAACCTCATAAACCCTAATCTTTTAGGAAGTGCTTCAATGTTTGCTTACTCACACAACATGGCTACTCTAACAGCCTCAGCTCCATTCCCCACTATAATTTTGGATCTCACTGATCATCAAACGGAGCCGCCGCCGCCCAAGATTTTCGGTAAGGCTCTGGGTGATCAACACCCGAGGGTCTCTCAGGGAACGACGTCGTTCACTGATACGGTGAATGCAGCAACGGCAGCTATTACAGCGGATCCCAATTTCACTGCAGCTCTTGTGGCTGCTATCACTTCTATCATTGGAAGTTCCCATTCCAAGAGTAATAATGGTTCAGATGTTACTACAAATGGAAAACCCTAGAAATGGGTGAAACTCAGTTGTTATTGTTATTGGCTTTGTTGTTTTGTCTGGAAATTTTGATCTTTTAGTTTTCATCGCTTCTTATATAAAACTATGATGGTAAGCAGTTTAGTTTAATTTAAATGCCTTATTTCTCTCAGGATTAGTGGCGCGTGCTTTTAAAGGTGTACGTTGATGGGAATAATCTTTGACGGTTTGAATTAAGTTCCATAGCATACGCGCGCTCACATTGCAAACAGTTGGCAAACTACAACTTAGTTCATACTAAATAACAAGGAACAGGATTTAAATGGACTTAATCTTCTGGATGCAAAGGTTTTTTGAAAACTTAATTAGCGACTAGAATTTATTAGAATTTGTATTCTATATAATTGATTGTATTTGAGTTACATCTATATATATATATATATATATATATATATTCCCAACTTACTTTTTGGATGCCTTTGAGAGCTGCAAAATAAAATCTCAGTAAGAATGACAAGAAATGATGCTCAATAACATTAAAGAAAAGCATCATTGAATAAATTATAACACGATACAAAATTTATTTCTTTTTCTTTTTCTTTTAGCTTAACCAATATAGGGGAGGCCATTTTGCATCAAAATCTCGTTCAACATAAGTATATTACTTATTACTCAATAACTACTTATTTCAATTACTTATGGTATAATTTTAAATTATCTTAATATTTAATTAGATAGTTCTCTTTATTTTTTCCTTCCCTTAACCCAATATCTTTGTAAATTCTTTCATATTGGCCTTCCGTCATATATAAATATAATTAAATATGTGAAATCAACCCAAATCAATAATCAGATAAGTCAACAAATTATATTAATTATAACATTAAAATAATATGCATATAAATATATATGTATTTGGATTTATGACTATTAATTGACCTTGTAAATCATTTTTCAGAATAATTTAATTTTAATTTATTTGTTAAGTTTGTATGGTTCCTTTTTTTGATTTAAGTGTTTTGATAATAACAAATTAAGATTCTAAGTTCCTTTTTCAGTCACTAATTATTTGAACATGTGCCAGATAATTGTCAAAGTGTTTTGTATCCATTTACTGTTGTGATTAATCAATCACATGATTATAATTTACTTTGTTTAATAACTTGTTAGATAAATGAGTTGATCGATTGACTGATCGATCATTAGTATAACTGCTTAATATAAGATGTTACAAGAAATAATTGATCACTTAATCAATTATTGGGTGATCGATAAGCTATCAAGATAAGACTTTAACTTCCTCGCCTACAACAAAAGGATTATTGATCACTTAATCGATCAGGAGGTAATCGATAATGACTCAGATAGTTGGTAAGTTTCCTTGTTTTACTCACTGTCTTAAATACTTTATAAATTATTGAACACCTTATTGATCATTGATTTATTAATAACTTGTTCGATCAAAGCCTTATTCTGGTATTTTCTAAATCACACTTTTTACAGTCTTTAATTGATCAGTTAATCGATTATCTATTAATCGATTATTTAATCGATCATCAATTTATCTTTGTACATAGTTATCTAAGTCTTTATGAATTGCTTTTGGATCATCTCTTCGATCAAACTTTTATCGATCAAGTGTTAGATCATAGTTCTTAAAAGTTGTTTTCCACGATAACTTAGAATCATCGATGAACTGTTTGATCAAGCTTTGTTTGATCACCTATTCGATAAATAAATCAATTCACCTCTTCAAAGCTATTATTCATGATGATCGTCCAGAAAGGTTCTTTATAGTATCTTTAAGCTTTTCTCAACCTTCTTTAATCATTTTTTTCTAAGATACGAAGGCATACAAATTTGGAAGAAATAAACCTTGCACAGATTTCAGAAGAACTTCACTTGCTAAGATCACTTTGCTCGTATGTCACCATTTATTGATCACTTGTTCTATTATTGTTTGATCTATAATGAACTCCATAAATGCACACATCTGTTAAGTCTACTTCTTTGTAATTAATCGATAATATGATCGATCAAGGGATTATCGATCAAGACATCAATCAAGTAAGTTCATCTTACTTTTTGAATATCTGATGATTAATTCTATGTTTTTCATTTGTTGTATAAATATAAAAAAATTATCATCTTTTCTGTTATTCATTTACATTTGCTTGAAGAAGAAAGTTTACTTGTGCTAAGAGACTTCTGCAGATTACAAAGCACAATGGATAAATTATAGACTTAAACCTACTATGTTAGAACAAAAAACCATTGTAATTGCTGAGCAAATGCAAGTGATCTTCCAACAACTAGAAGCTCTTCAGTCTAATAGATAACTGAAATACTCTAACTATAAATGGCGTGAAGAGTATTGAATGAAGTATTGAATTCACGAACTATTGTCTGTTGAAATTTCCTGTTGCATTTAATACTCTGTTCCCTGTACCGAACTCTGGTGTTCATAATTTATACTCTGTGAGAGAGTCTAAAATTTCTTTTACTCAAATTTTTGAGTTACTCAATATTGTGGACTCTTGAGGGGTTGTAATCTTATGGGTAGTAAAGGGGAGTGATTAAGGGAGATTCAACTATTGCTGTACCAAGGCACCGAGAGCCTATTGAATCTTGGGGATTTAGTGAAAATCTTAGAGGCTCTCTGAGGACTAGACATAGCTCAAGTGGTTGAGACCGAACCAGTATAGACTCCTATGTCATTGCTATTTGGTGAAATCCCTCCAAACTTATCTCGACTGTTTTATTTGTTCATTTATTTCATTAAGTCCAAATTTTGTATATCACCCAATTCACCCCCTCTTGGGTGAAACTACCACTAACATTTAGTATCAGGGCAGGTTTCTTCATTAGAGATTTAGTCGTCTGAAGAGAGATCTAATGGTAGGATTTGGAGATAGCATACTACTCGAAGGATGCTCAACGTCAAAATCACTGGGCTTCAACAGAGAAAACTTCATCTTTTGGAAGATGAGGATGAACATTTTTATTAAAGCCACTGAATATGGGTTATGGGACATGATAGAGCATGGGAACTATGTTCCAAAAAAATTAGTAGATAATCAACAAGTCCCTAAAAGCACGAGAGAGTTTGACAAAGAAGATAAAAGGATGGTGCTACTAAATAACAAGGCAATCAACATGCTAACCTTTGCCCTGAGTCAAAAAGAATACTTCTGGGTTTCAAGCCTGAAGATTGCGCAAGAAATGTGGAAGGCACTAGAAATTACACACGAAGAGACAACCAGCGTAAAACAGAGCAGGAATCAACACTCTCACCATAGAATTCGAATTATTCAAAATGAAGGATGGAGAGAGTATTGGAGATATAAAAGTAAGATTATCACATCTCATCAATCACCTCACAGCACTTAGCAAGAAATATAGTCAAGAAGATTAAGTGAGGAAAATACTAAGCGGTCTCACGAAAGAATAGGAATCGAAGGTGACAATAATTGAGGAGACAAAAGGAGAATCAATTGGCTCAGTTGCTGCACTATTTAGAGGCTTGGCAGAGTATGAGAGCAAGCAGAAATACAAGAAGCAGATGAATGAGAAGAATCATAAAGGCATTACTCTCAAGGCTCAAGAGAGTGAAGATGACAATAAAGAGGATATGGAGGATGAGAAAATGAGCCTTATAATCAAAAGATTCAAGAAGTTTTATAAAAACAAAGCCGGAAGAAGGTTCCAATCAAAACATAAGGCCTCCATGTCTCAAATCGAGCCCAAAGATCCAATAATATCTTTTAAATGCAAGAAATTAGGACATATCAAAGCAGATTGTCCACAACTGTCCAAATCAAAAGATAAAGACAAAAAGTGAGAGAAATTCAGAAAGAAGAAGGCCTTCGTCACTTCAATATGGGGAGATAGCTCATCTAAAGAAGATGATAGTGATGATGAGGAAACAACCAACATTTGCCTCATGGCATAAGAAGATGAAGATGAAGATTCAGAGACTGATGAGGTAATCATTTCTGAAACTTCTTATGATGAATTGCAATATGAATATAATGCATTACATTCTGAATTAGTAAGAATAGTTCAGGAGTTGGTAAGCTCTAAAAGGAAGATAGAGTCTTGAGAAACAAGTGAAGTAGAAAGAAGCTACACCTCCAACTTGCACAGAATGTGAGCAGAACAAGAAGAAAACTGAGGAGCTTACCAAAACCCTGGAGAAGTTCACAAAGAGCAGTGAAATGCTCAAAGTAATACTGGGAGCTCAATGCTATACTATGGACAAATTCGGAATAGGATATGATCCTACTCAGGATAAAAGAAAAGAAAAGAAGAAAAGTGATGAACGATCATATTTGACATTCTTTAGAAATTCTGCTCATTCTTCAAATCCATTTGCATTATGTTCCTACTATAACTGTAAGGGTCTTATAACCTCTTCTTGTCATCATAAGAAGAAAGGAACCTACAGGATATTAAAATAGGTGCCTAAAGGTACATATGTACCACAGACAAACCAAACTAACCAAAAAGGACCCAAGAAGGTATGGGTACCTAAAACGTGATTTCTCTGTTGCAGGTATGTCTCAAAGCATCCAAAACAAACAAATGGTACATTGATAGTGGATGCTCCAGACACATGACTAGTGAGAGTGAGAAATTCTCAACACTTAAACCCAAAGAAGGTGGTAAAGTGAGCTTCGGTGGGAATTAATATGGAAGAATAGCAAGAATCAAAGAAGTAGGAAGTGATTAAGGAATGAAAGTTGAAGATGTGTACTACGTTAAAGGATTATGTTACAACCTACTTAATGTTAGCTAGAGTACACTACTAGAAAAAAGACTTTTAACGTCGCAAAATAACGGCGGTTAACCAGAAAAACGACATGGAAAAAAACGCGGTGGCATTTTTGTAAATAAGTTGAAGAGGCCCACACTTTCAATGGCGGTTTTTAAGAAAACCGCCATTGAAAGTATTTTTAACGGCGGTTCTTTAAAGAACCGCCGTTAAAAACACTTTCCACGGCGGTTTTTAAGAAAACCGCCGTTAAAAACACTTTGCACGGCGGTTTTTAAGAAAACCGTCGTGGAAAGTGTCTCTCTTTACCTTTCTCCGCTTCGACTTCGGTCACTTTCTTTCTCATTTCTTCAGTGCGCCGTGGTCCCCCTCTGCCCCACCACCGAAAAACTGCCATT